GTAAATAATTCAGTCTAGCTCTCATCCCAGTTGCGTAAAAACCCCTCTTTGACCGATTAAAATAGTAGCACGCAACATTTTGGTTCCCCCTCTGTGGAATTGAAAACCACTTGTTTACAAATTTTAATTCATAGTTAACTTATATTTTGAATTAATTGAAAAATACACTATTCAAGACATACACACCTGAAACCCCCGCTAAAAATATATATATATATAATAAGCAATAACCATACACGCATCATTTGCGTAACGTTCGATATTGGACTCGGAAACGGACAATGAAGATCTTTACGAACGGATCATCATACGGAGTGAAGAAAAACCCGAAATAAACGAACAAGAAGATCGAAAATTAGAAAACGACAAAATGGCAGATAACGAAAACCTGGATATCAATAACGTACTTATCGCGGTTCAACAACTCGCACAAGCCATAACGAATCAAAACGAACGGCCTATGGAGAAAATGATCATACCTATTCGGAAGTTCCGAGGCAACGACCAAGATCCGATCGAATGGTTAAGGGAATTCGAGGTTGCGGCGCGAGCAAACGGACTTACCGATCGACGTAAGATTCAAGTAGTCCGGGGATATTTGGAAGGGCCTGCGGCTATGTGGTATGACGAACGAGCAAGAGACAATAATACTGAGTTAACCGATTGGGAAAACGATTATCACGACGAACACGATTTCACCCATAAATTCATCCGGAAGTTCCGAACGCAGAAACGGATCGATCAGTGGCAGGACGAGTTAGAGATGTTGCGACAAACCGGGACTGTCGATGCGTTCACCGACAAATTCATCGAACTCTTGAGGAAGGTGGATCCCGAAAGCCAATACCCCGATGAATACCGCACTCGGACGTACCGAAGAGGACTTCAGCCAGAAATAAGAAAGTGGGTACAGGTGACGGCAGATTGAACGCTAACAAACATGATCGAAGTCGCCCGAAACGTCGAAAAAGCCGACTCCGAAGACCCAACCCACAATTACCATCAACTTCAAATGAATTCATCCCACACCAACGATGACATTGTTGTTGCATTGCAAGCGTTAACTCGACCAAAACGTACCAGAGTATTGATGATAACCATAACCGGAAGTGGAACCGGCCTAATCCTAATCGAAGTATAGTATGTTACAATTGCGGTGAACAAGGACATATCAGTACCAATTGCGAGAAGCCACGGCAAAACAACAATTACCGTAACAATGCAGGAGGAAGTCAGCCGAAATAATGCGAACTCCACCACACAAATCAAGGTTCGCCCAAATATGGATAGCTCGCCGATCGACATTGGTATGACGAACAATAACGGAAATATAACTAATGATGATTACAGTCGTTAACGGAAAACCTACAAGCAATATCGATATTGGATGAAATTTCGGCTTGGTGAAAAATGTTGGTAGTTAATCATGTGAATTCTATTTTTATCGGATATTCAAGATAAATGTGACTATTTTTTATTGGTCAATAAGAACAGGTAA